TAGTGACTAACTAATTAATAAAGAATTGTATAGTGACATTTGTTTATCGTTATTCAGGATCTTTGTTGAGACATCAAATTAAGATCTTTGCTTCTTAAAATGAAGATCACACAGCTAGATAAAGGTGAATTTGTGACAAACCCTTCTGCTTAAACCCATTCAATTATTTGATTTAACTATTATTTGAAAAAGTAGGTGGAAACATCACCTAACTAGACAAAGATTGATCATCTGCTCATAAAGTGAAAATAGTAGACTATCCAAACAAAAAACTTAGATTTGCCACTAAACCTATCCCACAAAGTTCACGGTTTTAGAACAGAGACATTTAGGGTATAATTTATTCACTAATTGAAGCCAATAAGAGATGCTGACACTTGGAATGAACTAATTAAGTCTCTGTACACAATTATTGATTGTATGTAAACTGATAGTAAATTATGTGGAACATTTGATGAGAATAATAAATTTACTTCAAGTACCTCTAAGTAGTCTAGTGGTTTGCTTGGGACTCTTGGATTATTACTTAAAAGATTTTAAGTTTGAATCCTTCGACTACTAATAAGGGGTAGTCATTGGGGCTTACCTGGTCATTAACTTCAGAACCCCAAGCGACTAGTCCCCCAAATACCATTTAAAAGGAAAAAAAAATTATTTCATCTATCAATACAACTGAACAATTGAAAGATGCCAATTTGTTTACCATTAAATGAGTCGGTTCATATCTCTTGTATTCAAAGTTGTTCACAAGTGTTGCAGAATTCAGAATTCCAACTGAGCGCAATAAAAGGTTTTTTCTTTTTTCCTCAGCTTTTTGATCAATCACTGGTCAAATCAGAAAAGAGCAATTTTATTAAGCCACAACACAAGCGGTCCAGTTATATAAATCATGCTTTGAAAGGAAACAATGAAACCAAGACCCTAACTCAGTGCATTATAATGCATGATTTGGATATCCTTTGGATTAGTCACGCCTAGTTGTACAAACGAATGAATAATCAATGCCAAGACTTTAAGAGGAAATCAGTTTACTAGTAGAAAATTCAACCAGAAGTCCCTAAGGGTCAGATACAGTGATGCATCAAGACTTTGAGTCAGCCATGCAGTAACTTTTAGGCAATATGATGTATAGTTACAGATTTAATTTCACAGTTTGGCAGTGGAGGTCAAGCTTATGAAGAATTCAACCACTCAAAAGCCAGAAACTCAGCCGAGCTATTACTAAGCGATAGTTTCCCCCGTCTCCCCACTTCAGATTGAGCCAGACAGGTACAAATACACACATCATATAATATTCTGCGAGAAACAGACCACTTAAATGCTTATGCTTGTAATATTTATTGAGAGGAGACACTAACAAGATCTTCAAGAAAACCAATATTATAAATTGACTGCAAACTGATTCCACTCAGCAAAGTTTAAAACAGTAGCTAAGCGATTCTTCACTTTGCATGCATCTTTAACGGTTCAAATGTTGTGAGATAAATTATTTTAGTGGAAAAGAATACTAAGAGAATGAAATGGATGGTATATAATACAATAAAATATGTAGAGCAAAAACGAAGCAAAAATTAGTGGCCATGTACCAGGCTGCTGGTATAAGGTATTCGAAACATTCATGCAAGAGATTGTCTTAATGCCGAAAAAGAAAAGGTTAGAATGTATTCCCTACGCAATAAGTGGAAATATGATATGACTTAAAGTTGATAAGATACACACGGGTATTTATGGGTCAATTAACCTGTTAATCAACAGCCGAAAATAATTTAATTGTTAGATAAACAAAACACTTTCAAACTAACAAAGCAGAAAAGGAAACAACTAGTAACTACTTTTATCATTTTATCTTCAAAATGATTTTTTTTTTTTTTTTTTTTTTTTAATGACCGGGGTGTCTAGATCAGCTTATGAGCATTCTCAACTAATCCCCCAAGACCTTGGAACTACCCTATAAGTAGGAGCTCCAATAGCTACCCTTATTAGCAACCGAAAATGGCCTCGAACTCAGGACCTCTTGAGTAATACACCCAAAAATCTCTATCGAAGTCAAACCACTTGATCACCCAGAAATAGTTTCGTGAAAATGATCTGCAATATTGTGTATTCACCTAATACTTAGAAATCCATTGAAACCAATAGTGGATTTTAAGTTTGGTAACACATACAACTAATATTCTGAACTAAGTTTTTTCCTTGGAAGACTGCAAATTCTCTTACGATATATTATTAACTTACTGACCTGTGAATATGAAAAAAAATACCAAGTATGGAGAAGATTGGAAGGATTAGCATAATATTAGGGACTTTTTCAGTTGAAAAGAAGACCTGGCTGGGGTCAGTACCATATTATCAACTTGTGAAAGAACAGTGGCTAAAAGAAAGGCAAGTCGAAATTCTAGATGCTAGAAAGGAGTAATCATAATGGGCTTCGCAATCCAAGATTCAACTATGTCATTCAAAGATATTCCTGGAAAAGTTACCAAGATTTTAACTCGGCCAAATATTGGAGGCCAGCTGAACATAATGCTTTTCCAGTTTTCTTTGCTAATTGGCTTCATCAGGGAACAATCAAACTTGGTCCTAACCATTCATCTGGCTTGAATCCTAATCAACCGATATGTCCTCAAATTTAACCAACGTACTTAGCAAGTTAGCAGCACAACACACTCTTATAGAAACTACTATCATTACAAAATTCACTCGTTACTACAATATTGAATATACAAACTGAAGTTACTGGTTCTACTTCCTTTAAAGATTGGTAAGGATCTAAATCCTAACATGGCTACTCCCTGACGACTTTCATAAACTTAAATAGATGCTCAAGTGATCTTGCAGTCCTGCACCTGAAACTAACATAAAACAAATTCAGGGCTTGAAATGGATTAACTATTACTTCCATAGAATTGGTATATTTCTCAAGCGAACAAAACATAATATAGAATTATGAATGATGAGGCATAGATTGGAGCATAAAAAGTATCCAAGAAAAGGTCAAGTGCAATGAGTGTGATTAATATTCCAAATAACGCTTTTTTAAATCCAACACTGCTGATAAACTCTGAATGAACTCAGATCAATCCAACACTGCCAATACATTCTGAATGAAACAGAAGTCCATAAATGATAAGACTGCCACACAAATCTGAATATTATCGACCGCTTATACAGACACTAGACAACTCAACATTTGACAACATCCAAAAATCAATTATTTTATTATCAAAAGCCCAAGAAATTTAAAAGTAAACCATAACAATTATTTAGATTCTTCATCTTCTTCCTCTTTCCAGCAGCATCTCAGAGTTGATCTAGGAGAGCTATTGCCCCCAGTCCTAACATATTTCTGGAAGACAACTGAACCGCCCATTCCAAGCTCTTCAAGGCCACTCTCTTCGCAACAGTATCCCTTCACATCCAACAAACAGTCCTGCTCAAGAAACTTTCCTGCGACCTCAACGTGCACAGAAATGGAGAAATCATTTGGTTGGAAACAAGCCAACACCCTCCCCACCAGCTCACACAAATTCACTTCTTTCAGATCATAACCCACCGTTTCAAAGCTTGCATAACTGAAACCGTCCTCTGGGGTAACATGGATAGTAGAGATAGCAGTCCCTTCAATTGAATTCATTGAATAACCGCAGGGGTCAAACTCAAAATCACATATCTTGGATTCTGGAAGAATGTCTCTGATACCAGAATTAATGGTCATTGTACCCGCCGAACCTGATTGGGTCTTGTAAAAAACAGAAGCCATTTCCCTGTCCAAGTCTGTCATGCACATCTCTAAAGTGTAGACAGGGTCACAAGAGATCACTGATTCTGCAGAAGCAGAGTATACATGCCATTTTTGGGACTTGCACAACCCACCAATTACATAAGCATTGCTGCCTGAACCGAGCTTCCCAAAGTAGCTATCAAGAACAGCAACTTCTTCTGAGAAATTACGATGAGGATACGGCTGACTTTCAGGGAAAATGAAGCTCCCACGTGTATACCTCACTGATTGTACTTCAAGCGAAAGGGTCTCAGCCAACTTCAGGATTGGTGGGATTGAAAGAAGTAACTTTGTTGTCCCACAGGTTTTGATGATGATCTTGTATGGATAGACAAAGAGGCTCGACTCCGACAGGACATAAGAGTCAACATGATCATTTGACAGTGACGAAACTATAGTGCACTCAGCTGGTGCCAGAATCTCATCTAACTGGGCCTTCGAGAGGTACCGAAGACCCTTTCCTTCAGGATCTGCAAAGATGCCTGGCTCAAAAAATGACATTTCAAGCCTCTTTTCGTAACCTTCAAAACCAATTGCAGAGATTGCCATGGCAGTCTAAACAGAAACTATCACTGTTGAAAAGTACTTCGCAATCACAGTGGTGCCAAAGTTGCAGGTAGATCAGAGCCAGATAGAATGCAGTTGCAAAGAGAGAGAAAGAGGAAGTCGTTGATGAAGAAAAACAAGTAAAACTAATCACTAGTAAAGCAAGATAACAGTTCACCAATCACGTTATATGATGAGATCACAAATTTGAGGAGTATCAGGATGGCTTGCGAGCACACTGCATAAGAAAAAATAAGAATAAAACTGTTAACATAGTTTGTTCATGAAAGATGGATGAATTGGTAAAATTTAAAATCATGAACATAGAAATTTTTAATGTCATTCCAGAGTGTGATTATAGCTTGCAGAAGAAAACTATTATAATAAACTCACGTTGGAGTAAGCAGCAGATCTGAACTTCTTAATTCCGCCGTTTGGTCGAATGTCTTCAATGCTGTAACCAAGAGGAGCTTCGTAGAATAAAGACTTACTACTGCTAGACTTCTTCTTCCCACCTTTAGACTCCATTAGATCATACAATCCCTCCTGACCAAAGCCATCAAACATTAGTAATTAAATGATATCAACAAACAAACAAAAAAAAAAAAAAAAAACTCGAATGATTAAAAAAAAATTATTTAAGTCCAAATAGGAAAATAGTTGGCAGAGCATACCAAACCTCCAGCAACAATTTGAGAAAAACTATGCAGGTACAAATAAGACAGAATTAAATTCAAGTCATCGAATAAAGGGAGTCAAACAAGTAATTCAAAATGCCATATATGTAAAAGTTCCTGAAGACGGTTAAAGAATAAAAATATAAAGAACTTTTTTGTTTTGTTGAAGAAGGAAATTCAATTCCTAATTTAAGATCCTGAGCTGGTTGCAGAACAATGAAAACAAGTCATACAATTGTGACTGAAAAGTTTACAGAGAAAGAAAAGAGAGTTTTGTGCTTTCTCCCAACCGTGTTCTTAAAAGAATTATCTTTTACAAATTTGGATTATGTTTAGTTTAAAAAATGAATTTCATGTTTCACGATAGAGATATGATAAATTGATAATGTGTTTTAGAAACCATAACTAATAGGATTTAATCGTATTTAATCATATTATTACAACTCAAGCTCATTGCATTCATTGCTTTTAGTGAGGTGTTGATTTAAAAATTACAATTACACAATTTTATGAAAACAAGTGGCCGTATCCAACCATTCTTCCAAACAATTAAAATAAAAAATATCAGTATTTAAATAATTATTATTACAACTATCAATTCAGCATCCAAATCCCAATCTATCCTTGGCTCAAAACCAAAATAAATTCATTAACCTAAAAACTAATGAACTTCTAACATCAAATTCGTTACAAAAAAACCGCTAATAGTCATAAACATGCACGCAAATAAAAACCCTAAGCTGAAATTCTTAAAATTATTTCACAGAAAGAAAATATAATTTTCGAATCCATACTTACAGATATTACAAGTCCCGATCGAAGCTTTATATCAGCTATATCACCAACACGTTAAAACTCGTCAGAATTCCTTAAAAACAAGACGACGACAACAATCAGAAACGAAAATAGAAGATAAAAAAACAATTCAAAAGATACAAAACCTAGAAAAGAAAATACTTACAGAAATATGTATATGAGATGAAAATTGAGAGGATTTGAATGATTCTAGTGTTGTTGGTAGGAGTTGTGCAGCAATGTATTTCTTGTGTTTTATGAAAATGAAATAATTGTGACTTGTGAATGGATCCGAGGACTGAGGGGAAGGCTGACGTTTTATACATGACGTGGCGAGCGTTATTTGTGTGTTGACATTCGCTACTTGTTTAGATTAAATCACGATATTGCCCTTTCTTTTGATTTTCCAGTTAAGTTTCGAATATTTGTTCTCCTTTATATAGGATGTTAAAGCACTTTAAAGTTTAAACCTAAAAGTTAACTGTTTTCGTGCTTTTTTTTATTTATTTATTTTTCTTAAGAGATAAGGATGAATAAAGAACGATGGGAAAGTCAAAGCCGGTAAAAAATCCGATTTAGTATAACACGGTATTTTATTATTTGTCATGGTTTATTTGAGCAATTTTAAAATAACTAAAAAAAGATAGGAATATATATTAAGCTCCTTTTAATTAGTTAAAATATGCTAAATTTATACAACCTAACAATTAATTAATCTTATAATTTTAGTGAAATTATTATAATAAATAGGAATGGTTTAAAGTTAAAGTTGATATTAAATAAAAGTTTAACAATTGTATTGAAAAAATGGTAAAAAATAAAGTAAAGAAGAAGAATGGAATAGGAAGAGAGAAAAATAGAGTATAGTTTGTTACATGCATTGAGCAAGAAGAAAGATTAAAAGACATGAGACCCCACGACTCTCCTTTCTAAATAATGTTTGATATGATCAGCAGACCCACCAGGCAGTGGCACCAACACTACTTCGTCACGTTGAATTAAAATTGTGTTCTTCTCTCTCTGTCTTGCCTACTTTTGTCATTAAGTTACAACTTTTTTGCTGGGAGTCACTTAAGTCTAGTGACTTAACTAATTAATAAAGAAATTGTATAGTGACATTTGTTTATCGTTATTCAGGATCTTTGTTGAGACATCAAATAAGATCTGCTTCTTAAAATGAAGATCACACAGCTAGATAAAGGTGAATTTGTGACATAACCCTTCTGCTTAAACCATTCAATTATTTGATTTAACATTATTGAAAAAGTAGGTGGAAACATCACCACTAACTAGACAAAGATTGATCATCTGCTCATAAAGTGAAAATAGTAGACTAATCCAAACAAAAACTAGATTTGCCACTAAACCTATCCCACAAAGTTCACGGTTTTAGAACAGAGACATTAGGGATATAATTATTCACTAATTGAGCCATAAGAGATGCTGACACTTGGAATGAACTAATTAAGTCTCTGTACACAATTATTGATTGTATGTAAACTGATAGTAAATTATGTGGAACATTTGATGAGAATATAAATTTACTCAAGTACCTCTAAGTCTAGTGGTTTGCTTGGGACTCTTGGATATATTACTTAAAAGATTTAAGTTTGAATCCTTACGACTACTAATAAGGGGTAGTCAGGAGGCTTACCTGGTCATTAACTTCAGAACCCCAAGCGACTAGTCCCCAAATACCATTAAAAAAGGAAAAAAAAAATTATTTCATCTATCAATACAACTGAACAATTGAAAGATGCCAATTTGTTTACCATTAAATGAGTCGGTTCATATCTCTTGTATTCACAAGTGTTTCACAAAGTGTTGCAGAATTCAGAATTCCAACTGAGCGCAATAAAAGGTTCTTTTCTTTTTTCCTCAGCTTTTTTGATCAATCACTGGTCAATATCAGAAAAGAGCAATTTTATTAAGCCACAACCAAGCGGTCCAGTTAATATAAATCATGCTTGGAAGGAAACAATGAAACCAAGACCCTAACTCAGTGCATTATAATGCATGATTTGGATATCCCTTTGGCTATTAGTCACGCCTAGTTGTACAAACGAATGAATAATCAATGCCAGACTTTAAGACTGGAAATCAGTTTTACTAGTAGAAAATTCAACCAGAAGTCCCTAAGGGTCAGATACAGTGATGCATCAAGACTTTGAGTCAGCCATGCAGTTAACTTTTAGGACAATATGATGTATAGTTACAGATTAATTTCACAGTTTGGCAGTGGAGGTCAAAGCTTATGAAGAATTCAACCACTCAAAAGCCAGAAACTCAGCCGAGCTATTACTAAGCGATAGTTTCCCCCGTCTCCCCACTTCAGATTGAGCCAGACAGGTACAAATACACCATTCATTATAATATTCTGCGAGAAACAGACCACATTAAATGCTATGCTTGTAATATTTAATTGAGAGAGAGCACTAACAAGATCTTCAAGAAAACCAATATTATAAATTGACTGCAAACTGATTCCACTCAGAAAGTTTAAAACAGTAGCTAAGACGATTCTTCACTTTGCCATGCATCTTTAACGGTTCAAATGTTGTGAGATAAATTTTTTTAGTGGAAAAGAATACTAAGAGATGAAATGGAATGGTATATAATACAATAAAATATGTAGAGCAAAAACGAAGCAAAAATTAGTGGCCATGTACCAGGCGCTGGTATAAGGTCTATCTGAAACATTATGCAAGAGATTGATCTTAATGCCGAAAAGAAAAGGTTAGAATTGATTCCCTACGCAATAAGTGGAAATATGTAGTGACTTAAAGTTGATAAGATACCACACGGGTATTTATGTGTCAATTAACCTGTTAATCAACAGCAGAAAATAATTTAATTGTTAGATAAACAAAACACTTTCAAACTAACAAAGCAGAAAAGGGAAACAACTAGTAACTACTTTTATCATTTTATCTTCAAAATGATTTTTTTTTTTTTTTTTTTTTTTAATGACCGGGGTTCTAGATCAGCTTATGAGCATCTCAACTAATCTCCCGGGATCTTGAAATTATCCTCTAGTAGGAGCTCCAATAGCTACCTTTATTCGCAACCGAAAAATGACTCAAACTAGGATCTCTTGAGTACTGCATCCAAAAGTTTCTCTTGAAGTCGAACCACTTGATCACCCAGAAATAGTTTCGTCAAATGATCTGCAATGTTGTGTATTCACCTAATACTCAGAAATCCATTGAAACCAATAGTGGATATTAAAGTTTGGTAACACATACAACTAATATTCTGAACTAAGTTTTTTCCTTAAAGACTGCAAATTCTCTTACGATATGTATTAACTTACTGACCTGTGAATATGAAAAAAATACCAGTATAGAGAAGATTGGAAGGATTAGCATAATATTAGGGACTTTTTCAGTTGAAAAGAGAGACCTGGCTGGGGTCAGTACCATATTATCAACTGTGAAAGAACAGTGGCTAAAAGAAAGGCAAGTCGAAATTCTAGATGCTAGAAAGGAGTAATCATAAGGGCTTCGCAATCCAAGATTCAACTATGTCATCAAAGATATTCCTGGAAAATTACCAAGATTTAACTCGGCCAAATATTGGAGGCCAGCTGAACATAATGCTTTTCCAGTTTTCTTTGCTAATTGGCTTCATCAGGGAACAATCAAACTTGGCCTAACCATTCATCTGGCTTGAATCCTAATCAACCGATATGTCCTCAAATTTAACAACGTACTTAGAAGTTAGCAGCACAACACACTCTTATAGAAACTACTATCATTACAAAATTCACTCGTTACTACAATATGATATACAAACTGAAGTTACTGGTTCTACTTCCTTAAAGATTGGTAAGGATCTAAATCATAACATGGCTACTCCCTGACGACTTTCATAAACTTAAATAGATGCTCAGTGATCTTGCAGTCCTGCACCTGAAACTAACATAAAACAAATACAGGGCTCAAAATGGATTAACTATTAATTCATAGAATTGGTAATTCTCAACGCAACAAAACATAATATAGAATTAGAATGATGAGGCATAGATTGGAGCATAAAAGTATCCAAGAAAAGGTCAAGGCAATGAGTGTGATTAATTCCAAATAATGCTTTTAAATCCAACACTGTGATAAACTCTGAATGAACTCAGATCAATCCAACACTGCCAATACATTCTGAATGAAACAGAAGTCCATAAATGATAAGACTGCCACCAAATCTGAATATTATCGACCGCTTATACAGACACTAGACGACTCAACATTTGATCACAGACAACATAAATCAATTATTTTATTATTAAAAGCCCAAGAAATTTATAAGTAAACCATAACAATTATTAGATTCTTCATCTTTCCTCTTTCCAGCAGCATCTCAGAGTTGATCTGGGAGAGGTATTGTCCCAGTCCTAACATATTTCTGGAAGACAAACTGAACTGCCCATTCCAAGCTCTTCAAGGCACTCTCTTCGCAACAGTATCCCTTACATCCAACAAACAGTCCTGCTCAAGAAACTTTCCTGCGACTCAGATGCACAGAAATGGAGAAATCATTTGGTTGGAAACAAGCCAACACCCTCCCCACCAGCTCACACAAATTCCTTCTTTAGATATAACCCACTGTTTCAAAGCTTGCTAACTGAAACCGTCCTTGGGGTAACATGGATAGTAGAGATAGCAGTCCCTTCAATTGATTATGAATAACCGCAGGGGTCAAACTCAAAATCACAATCTGGATTCTGGAAGAATGTCTCTGATACCAGAATTAATGGTCATTGTACCCGCCGAACCTGATTGGGTCTTGTAAAAAACAGAAGCCATTTCCCTGTCCAAGTCTGTCATGCACATCTCTAAAGTGTAGAACAGGGTCACAAGAGATCACTGATTCTGCAGAAGCAGAGTTACATGCCATTTTGGGACTTGCATAACCCACCAATTACATAAGCATTGCTGCTGAACCAAGCTTCCCAAAGTAGCTATCAAGAACGCAACTTCTTCTGAGAAATTACGATGAGGATACGGCTGACTTTCAGGGAAAATGAAGCCCCACGTGTATACTCACTGATTGACTTCAAGCGAAAGGGTCTCAGCCAACCAGGATTGGTGGGATGAAAGAAGTAACTTTGTTGTCCCACAGGTTTGATGATGATCGTATGGATAGACAAAGAGGCTCGACTCCGACAGGACATAAGAGTCAACATGATCATTTGACAGTAGGATTTGGCTAAGGTTTTCTATGCATTTAACAGTAGACTCTTGAGAATCCAACATTCCCTAAGGTTGGCCATTCATTTACTTAAAAGTAAAGCCTTAAAATTCCATCTTC